ACACAAGTAACAGTCAAAATAAATGTGGTTGTATAAGAGTGTGTGGAAATTTAAATAAGTGCCAAACCATGGCAAAATCTAGACCAACATATGGAGGTAGCTAAAATAAAGTTTCAAGCAGTAATGTTATGGAATAACAGAAGTGGAACTGGAGTTCAAGGTGGTGACTGAAATTGCAAGCATTCTAGTAGGTTGTATAGCATGCAAACACTATGGAGGGTCTGCCTTGTCAGCAGTACTTTACCACACCTTCAGAGGCAAAGGGTATAATGCAACCATAAATATGGGTTATTAAGTGACGTTCATTACAGTCTAACCAGTTTAACAGTGTTGTCAACAAAATTAATTTCTACCTTCTCCACCAATCAGAATCCTAACTGGTATAGCATAGCTTAGGGAATGTAGGTGTCTCACTCTCAGACGTTTCTTCATACATTCTCATCTGCATTGCAGTTTAGCTGTTATTGTAAGATATAGACTATATTGCTTAAAGTATTGGACGCCTGCTGTTACACACACACGTTCCTCCACCCCAAACTCACTCTTCCATGTCTTTATGGACCCTGCTTTGTGCACTGGTGTGCAGTCATGTTGGAACTGGAAGGGGCCATCCCCAAACTATTCCCAGAAAGATGGGATTATGAAATTGTCAAAAATGTCTTGGTATGCTGATGCCTTAAGAGTTCCCTTCACTGGAACTAAGGGACCAAGCCTAACCCCTGAAAAACAACCCCACACCATAATCACCCCTCTACCAAATTTTACACTTGGCACAATGCAGTCAGGCAAGTACCGTTCTCCTGGCAACCGCAAAACCCAGACATGTCCATCAGATTGCCAGACAGAAAAGCATGATTCGTCATTCCTGAGAACACGTCTCCACTGCAGTGGTGGCGTGCTTTACACCACTACATCCGATGGTTTACATTGCACTTGGTCATGTAAGGCTTGGATGAAGCTGCTAAGCCATGGAAACCCAGTCTATGAAGCTCTATGTGCACTGTTGTTGTACTAATCTGAAGGCCACACCAAGTTTGGAAGTCTTAGCTATTGACTCTACAAAAAGTTGATGACTTCTGTGCACTGTGTGCTTCAGCCTGCTCTGACCCCTCTCTGTCATTTTACGTGGCTACCACTTTGTGGCTGAGTTGCTGTTGTCCCCAGTTGCTTCCGCTTTGTTATAATGCCACTAACAGTTGAACATAGAATATTTAGCAGCAAGGAAATTTCACAGATGGACTTATTGCACAGGTGGCAACCAATCACGGTACCACGCTTGAACTCACTGAGTTTCCTGAGAGTGACCCATTCCTTCACAAATGTTTGTAGAAGCAGTCTGCATGCCTAGGTGGTTGATTTTTATACACCTATGTCCATGGAGGTGATTGGAACACCTGAATCCAATGATTTGGAGGGGTGTCCCAATACTGTTGGCTATATAGTGCATGTTTAACATCCTTGGCCCTATGCAATATAAATTTTCTATCCTTGTAGTTTAACATTTTAGGCAAAAAAGGTCCTGGGGGTCCCCTTATAGGTAGTGGTTGAGAAAGGACACTGTAAGCCCACTCTACAGCATAAAAAGGAGTAAAGGTATCCCTACCATGTGTATGCTACCCTTGTAGGAGCTGCTGTACTTTTGCCCAGGTCTTTCCTATATGCATGTCTTCTATATTCCCAGGTCTTCCCTATATGCAAGGCACAAGGTATTTTCCCACATCCAGGTGCGCATACACTTTCGCTAGTTGTTTCCAATGACCAGTCAAGGGGATGTTTATTTTTGTTTTATTGAAGAACTTGGATAGGAATGGGGAATTTAGCAGGATAATCCAAGAACAGAACTAATTATAACAAGAACACTATCTGATTTTTTAGTCAAGCTTTAGGTGAAGTTCTTGCTAAAGCAGACAAAAATACTTCCTCTTTGCAGTAACAGTAGCAATGACTTCAGGTTAGAGCAAAGTCCATGGTAGCAAAGAGTAAATGGACAGAGGCTCTTCAGGGCACCATTTTATATCCCCTTTTTACAGATTCCCACTGACAATAAAGCATCAGTGACTTAGCCAAGCACATAAAGTCCCCAAGATCACTCAGTGTCTGTACTCACAAGGCTTAAGGACAGAATGGCAGTCTCCTTCCAATCTTCCAAGCAATGCCCTCCAGTGATACCAGACAGATCTCTGGCAAACAGCTCTCCTAGTCAGCTTACTGAAGAACCAAAGGTCACTCTCTCTCCTACTTTAGTCCTCAGGTTGCCCACCTGAGGTCACATGGCAGCAGCAGGTGCCAGGGGAGACAGAGTGCACTCCCCTGGCCTGGTACAATCCACTCCTGGGAAAGACACAGGGCTCAGTACGCCAAAAGAATAAATTCTTTCTCCCAGCATTCCTCAGGGCTGCATTGCCTGTGATTGGCTGGAGTGGCCTTAATATTCATGCTGTGTTCTGCATGAGTTCCACCTATACATCCAGAACCTTCCTAGGTTGCTTGGATACAGAGGAAAACAGAAGAAGTACTAGGAGCACTTGAACACACTGAGCAGCCACTAATAAAAAAATGCAGCTCTCTGCTAAGCAGAAAGCCTGATTAGATTTTCCTAACAATCTCTCTGTTAGGCAGAGAAACACAGCTATACTAACTATCCTAACTGTACGCATCCTAGCACCTATCTAGGAGGGTGCTACACATGGGTACCCTCATTGTGTTCAGGGAGGTAAGCAGTAGCCAGGAAAAGATGTTTAATAGGCACCAGATCATCCTGTCAGAAAAGGAAATGGAAGAGATCTGGTAAACATGCCAATTTCCAATATGGACACACTAATTTGTACAAGAATGTGCACATGTGCATGTGGCACGCATTTGCACAAATCGCGATAGTTGTTGGCACCCAGTGGCCTTTATGAGAACTGTAGGTCAACTCATCAGTTGCTGGATTCTTGCCAGCCTCTGTATCCTATGTTCCTGTGCTTGCTACCTTGTTTGAATTACCCGTTATTGACTTAGCTTGCCTCTGACCCATCCTTACTTCTCTCCTGGTTCTGACCCCGGCTTGGTTCCAGGGATTTGTTACTGCCTGCTTTCCTGTGGTTGACCCTGGCTTGATCTTGACCACACTTCTGCCTCCATTCCTGATTGACCTCCTGTGTTTGACCCTGACTCTGGCTTCTGACTTTGCTTTCTGCTTCACTCATCTGTTAAGATCCACCTGTACAGTGAGAGTGTCACCTACCCTGCTGTTATCTTTGCAAGGTCAAGACTTCACCTGCAGCTTCAAGGCGTCATCTGCTGCATTGACATTGCTGCATGGTCAAGTCTCCCTCTGGTGCCTCAGCCACACTGACCACCAGGCAACTACATCTCTGGCAACTTGTGCTACTTTTGGTGCAGCACCCTCTGTTATCACCTGCAGGGGTGCTCTGCACTCAGCTGCAATGGGAGCCCTCCAGTCACTTCAGCCTCCAGTCAGGTATGTGACACATCTTCAACACAGATCACACTACCATCCAGGGACGTTGTGCATTGCCTGACCTTCTGAAGGTCATGTCTGAAGAAGGATATTTTCTTTGTTTTGCATTTGAGTTGTGTGAATAGATTTTAAAAACAAGTGTTTCAAATGGTTGTCACTTGTAAGACACAGTGTAGGCTTTGGGTCCTGGTCTTTTGTTTTTGGTTTGGGGGTCAGGGGTACTTTTAGATTGTGTGGATGTGTAGGACTAAGCAGGCTCATCCAGGCCATCAGCAGCTGGTTTGATGAGTAGGACAGAGTAATAATTAGGACAGGACTGGGTCGAGAGCCATGGCGTGTATGGTGGGAGGATCTTTTCAAGGGTATTAGCAAATTTGTAAGGCTTTTCTGCAGTCTTTCTCAGTCTGTGTTGAGAAGGATACGGCACCACTTTAGATGCAATCTGATTCTTCCTCCTTTTGTCATGACTGTATCCGGACAAGGGGACAGCTAAGATATAGCTGTATCCAATCTGCGGGTGGTAGACAGCAACATTTTGGAACAACTTGATTGTTCCTGCCTGTTGTTGTGCTTATTAATGGCTGTATCTGATTGGGAATGGTGGGACAGGGGGAATTACCTGTATTTGTGATTGAACTAGTTGGTTAGAGATTTTAAGCTAACTAAATGTTCTTACATACAAATATAAAAAGCACCTGAATCTATCAAGATATCATCCTCTGTCATTCCCTGCACAGCAGTACTTACACTGGAACAGGAAGGAACATGGCTAGGGGCCAATCAGGTTCTACTGCATGCACATGTGCTGACAGGGAAAACACTAACAGCAGGAGAGAGCAGAGTAACCAAAGTTAACAACCTATCAACCTGTGCCCTTTGTTGCCTTTAAACTGCTTTACTTGCAGTACAAACACATCATCAATCGGGCATACTGTGTTCAGAGAAAGGCAATAAAAGGCAGGTCAAATTTTTGATGCAGAACTGTCATCCACACTACACTTGTAGCCTCCCTAGCGGTCTGATTATGTCATTATTTCTGTGCTCAAAGCGGTACATTTTTTTGCATGGAAATATGTATATTTTTATTGTAGGCCTGGAATTTTTAGGAATATCTCACTGAAATCTGTCCGAACAAGAGTCTAGTAAACATCCCGAGTATGATAAAATTTGAAACAGGAAATCATAAATTATAATTTAATAAATAATCATAAAAAATAATAATATAATAATATTAAATTTAATTCAATAATATAATCAAACCAAAAACACTGAAATTTGAAATATAGCGCCAAGTTCGCACATCACTGAGCAAAGTCGCAAAATCGTTTTCAGTGTCTGATGACGAATTTCCCCACAAATCATTATCACTCAATTCTGCAAGTAGTTCTAATTTACTATCGCTGTTCTCTAGCTGGTCTAAAACCACTTTTGACCTAAAGGGACGCTTTTTGGATGCCATGGACATTTCTCAGTTTCCAGGCAGAAAGAATGGTAAAAATGCAGGCAGGCCACAGGACAAAGCACTCGGGACAAAATGTATGTGAAATGGTTTGATACAGTAATGTTTTATCATGTAATTTTACTGTATTTAGTGAATGTCACTTTTTCACATTTTTAAATTTCCCGCCATTCTGTCCCCGTACGTCCTGACGTTGCAGGGAACGGAACCCGGAAGATCGGCCGGAGAACATTGCCGGGGACACTGCAGGAGGGACATCGCGGAAGCGAAGGGCAAGGTACGTGAAGAAGAGATCCCGGAGCAATGTTACAAGGTATTCCTGAGTGTAGCTCGGGGTTACCGCTTGTGGTGCTGAAACTTTACCCCGAGCTACACTCGGGAATACCTCCAGGGAGGTTAAGGTAAATAGGAATCTGCTGACCTGCATTTAATATGCATTAAAGGAGAAGTAGGGCCAAAGCTCTTTTGCCCGTTTTCAGTTGACAGCAGGCTAAAATCAACTGTCAGCTGATGTCACAGAGCCTGTCCAGCCTCTGGAGAGATCCTCAAATTTTAAGTCAGGATCCACCTAGATGCCTAGATTGGCAGCTAACTCAGCTTCTCAGCGAGCCACTGAGAGTTTGGGCCAGCTGCTTCTGCCCCCTCCACAGTGCCAGTGAGTTCTGGAGGAGCAGAGCACAGAGCAGGTCACTGACGTTCACCGCTCTCTGCTCACTGAAGGCCTAGAAATGAGCAATCTGTGGTCTTCAACTGCTCGGTTCTTGGTCTTAGAGGCACTGAAGACAGATGCATCATCGGACTTATGTTGCATCCACCTAGGTGAGTATAATATTTTTTTTTTTTTTATATTCTCAAACTTCTCTTTTAATATTTTGACAGAAGTAAAGTATATATATGTGTATTTTACCTGTTTGCCTAGAGTTCAGAATTAAATAAAAAATATTTACATTTTCAATATATAATGTACACACTCTCTGATATTTATGGAAAGGTAAAGTAAAGGTGTTATCTAAACCAACCAATCAGATTTCAGCTGGCATTTTTACAGCAGTTTTAAAAAAGAAAGAACCTTCCTTATTGGTTGCTACAGAGAGCACCTCTACATTTTCTTTCTACCAGTTTATATGCTTGTAATCTTAGCGTGCACACAAAATAATTTGTGTGTGTTGTGTTTTATCACAAAGCTGTGCTTTTAAAAAAGCTGCGGCTCTATGGTGTAAAACTCTTTACACCAGTAAAATAAAAAAATAAAAAACGGAAACTTCCGTAATTTAAAAGTGTTTAAACTGGTTATGGCTTCAGCTTCCTACAAAGATATTCAGACAGGTATGCCCGCAATCCTTGGCTCACTTTATCATAATATTCCCATACATCAACATTTCAAAATGTATTATATGCACAGTGTATTTCAGGCACTTGATAAATTTTGTCCGTATGTAGCTGTAGCACCCCTCAAATATTCTGAAAGTAATAAATTGCTATAATCAAATCTAATTTTTGAAAAATACCTGTGGGAGCCACAAACAAAAAAGAATGTCTTGTATAAGAACATGATAAATAACGCGGGAGCCCGTAGTTTATTATAATCAGCTTGGCATTGAATTACAAAATTAAAATTATATAGCCCTTGATAAGTAACCCGACCAATGTTCGTGATCAGTGGAATTATGTTGACTTATTTTGCATTTCATAGGAACAGTTCAAAGAAATATAATAGGGAATAGAAAGATTTATCACAAAAGCGCCCTGTAGCAAAGAATATGTGTGGGGGGGAGAAAAAATCTATTTATTTTGGTTTAATAAGGAAACGGGCACAGAAATGATTTGCTTAGAACTTGTTTTGGCTAAAACAGTTTTGAAAAGTACTAATTTACCTGAAGGGGGACTCACATACAGCGAGCAGATTAAACTATTTTGACAACATTGAGGGAAAGGTGAGATCTGGTGCTAAGATGAAAAATATGCTGAATTTTTGGGCTCAGTTTATATGGAGAGCAGGGGAAATATGAGAAACAGACTTTTTAAAAGTGCAAGCTCTGCAGTTCACATTTACTTTATGGCCAAGAATAAGCATGTGGTCAGTGAGGTTGGGACCTCCAATCTGCATTCTTGTTTTGGTTCAGTAACTCATTTAGCAGTGGAGCAAAGGTAAGCATGAGAGCCCAAGAACAAGTATGCGGTCAGTGAAATTGGAACCCCTAATCCTAAGAACTTAGAACTTACATCTCTAGAAACAAAATTAGCAACCTCTCCCATATTTCTGCCCTATCAGGTTCCCTTTAAAGGGTAAATCCAGGCATTACCCAAATTTAACCACAACTCCCCCCTTTTCCCTCTACAGCATGTCTCAGCATTATTATTTTCTTCTACCTTGTTTCTGTGTAGTGCATCAGTGCCCTGATGATCAGTGCCGTTCTCCTCTCTGACAGTTTCCAGTTATCAGCAGTACTTTCCTCACACTGTGACAGCGTGAGGAAAGTGCTGCCGATAACCGGCAACTCTGTTTACTCTGTGATCTGCTGTGTCATTGGACACAGCTAATCACGTGGTAAAAGGCCTCTGTGATTGGCTTTTTAACTCATCACGTAATCAGCTGTGTCCATAGGACACAGCGATCATGGAGATCGCCGGGTGCACGCCCCTGGGGGCGCGCAGGAGGGCGCGTTCTGGGAGGACGTCATATGATGCCCTTTCAGAACTGGGTGATCACGCTCTAGCCATCATTCAGCTATAGCGTGGTTACCAAGTGGTTAATAGAGGCAGAGGTGTATTTACCACAAGGCATTTGCCTAGGGCGGCATTTTTTAGGGGGGCAGCAGCATTTTTCAGGTGGGCAGTGCCTCCCCCCGAAAGAAGGGATGGAAGAAGGGACACGTGCAGCACAGGGACCAGGTGGGATCTGAGAGAGGCTGCGGGCTGCTTGATGGTGTATACAGAGCCTGACTCTTGTTCCCGGGGATGTCCAGAACTGTGAAGGTGAGTTTCTTATCTGTTCCTGGGGTGGGGGGTGGCCAGTGTATGGGGGGCGGTGGTAGTGGAAGGCTCTCTTGGGTGGGGTGTTGTTGGTCAATGTCAGGCTCTCTTCGTGGGGGAGGGAGGTGTTGGTTGGTGTCAGGGACTCTTCGTGGGGGGGAGCAAATTTTTGTGTTGCCTAGAGCAGCACAAAACCTAAATACACCACTGAATAGAGGGTAAACATAAAGTAAGGGAGATACCCCTTAGGTGATGTTGCATTCAAACAGTATCCCTTTGGCACGCACAGGATGAGGTGTAAAATTTGGCAGTAAATAGAAATGGGCAAAACGCACTTCTGAGTTAGGTTCTTCCTTAGGTGTCAGTGGCAAACTGCAGCAACGCAGGAGCTCCTTGGCGAATGGGCAGACTGTAATGGGAGCAATAATACAGTTGGGCCTGCAGATGGCAAATGGTGCAGTAGGCCTCTGTGATTGGATATGTTGGAACTATTATAACTAGTAGGGCGAACATCTTGGCCTTAACACATGTAACTTGAGGAACGATAGTAATCAAGCTGAGTACAGAATGACTAAACTAGATAATTTCATGTACAACTTAGATGGCTTGATTATGGAATTCTCTCACCCAGTCCATGGTCTCGGTGGTGGAAAGTCTTTCTGTAGACAGGGGCTGCCATTCCCTTATGGGTCCTCCTTCAGAGATCACTCAGGATAGCAGCACTCCAGCTTGCCTCCTTGCAGGTCTGTCTCCCTGACTTGTTAGCGGTATCAGCAGTATCAGCGGTCAGCAACTCTCTCTCTCTCCTCCACTCTCTGTGGTCTGGTCCAGCTGGGACCTTCAGAGTCCCACACGATCCAGTCTTCTCACAGTGGCTAAATGGTTAGCACTTCCGCCTAGTAATACTAGGGTCAATGGTTCAAATCCCAACCACCACCTGCCTGGCGTTTGCATGTTGTTCCTGTGCCTGTGTGGGTTTCCTCTGGGTACTCTGGTTTCCTCCCCCACTCCAAAGACATGCCGGTAGTTTAATTGGCTCCTGTCTAAATTGTCCCTAGTATGTGTATGTATGAATGCAAGTTAGGGACCTTAGATTATATTCCCCTTGAGGGTTAGGACTGATGTGAATGTACAATATATATGTAAAGTGCTGTGTAAATTAATGGTGCTATATAAGTACCTGAAATAAACAATTATCTGCCCCTGCCCATCCACCAGCTCCTCTGGGAAACGTAGTGTGTCAGCTCCATGTCAGACAGTGAAGTCCTACAAATACCACAAAGCTTTTCAACAAAGTATGCGCAACTGGGCTGCAGGACACTGCCGTCTTGGGACCATTTAACTTCCTGCATACAGTATTTCTGCAGGGTGCCATCCAGCACACAAGTACTGTGTAAAAATACACTCGTATTAAAAAGAGAATAGGCTTTCTATATTTAACATATATATGCAATGTTTACTGGATAATGTTAAAGTGATTGTAAAAAAATGTTTTCCACTTAAAATATCAAATATGTTATACTTATCTATTTAATAAAATCTGATCTGGAGCACCATTTTATTGTAATGTGCCTCCATCCCTAAATCAGTGTATACACAAATTCCAATACATTTGCCCTGGAACTTTAAATGAGGCACATCACACACAAAATATTAGTTAAAACTGTGTTAAGTATGTATCATATGTCAATATAAATTCTATGTCAATATATATTCATTCACGGTCATAACATTATTACATGTATACATTCCAAATATTGGTGCGTAATAGTATGACAAATTGCATCTGAAAACATGACACGTTTCCTGAATCTCTGATCACTTTTTCAGGAGGAGATGGAAAATACATGTAAATCAGCTCAAAGTTAACCGTGGCAACACTTGGGATTGAAGATCATCGGGGATGTCTACCCTGGGAGCTGTGGCAGTTTGACTCACAGAGACCAGAGGGGCAAATGAAGGGCAGATTCAGTACTAGGGAATTACAGGTCCATATACAGTAGTCCATAATAACACCCACAGTAAGTACCAACACTTTTGAAGTTACAATCCAGAGTGTAGTCCATAATATCCCTTTTTTCTTGGCTATCGTGTACTATGCCTCATTTAAAGTCCTAGGTAAAAAGTGTTTGGATTGATGTTATACGTACCTGCTCTGTGCAATGGTTTTGCAGAGAGCAGTCCCGATCAGGGACGGACTGACAACTCATGGGGCCCCCGGGCAATAGGGGATCATGGGGCCCCTGTGTCCTTGCCCAAACTCAAAAAAGCCTATGAAAAAGGTACCAGGGGCATTTCATGGGGCCCCCTACTGACCCCGGGCCCTCGCACAGTGCCCGAGTTTCCAAATGGTCAGTCCACCCCTGGTCCTGATCGTCCTCTTCCCAGGTCTCCTGTCAACTTACCTGTTCTCTGTCGATTGCCCCCACAGC